TCAGACCATCCTTTGTGGTTACTTTAGGTCTCTGAGTTTGCAAGACCGCCATGCAGGCCTTCCCTGAGCTTGTCAGGTTAGCATGTGGTCCCTTTTGTCCACAAAAGGAAAATTCTGGCTCCTATGTTGCACTTAGTTGTTATATCTCTGGAGTTTTTATTAATCTGGAAAAGTTCTTCAGTGTTTCTTTGTCTTTCATGACATTTCAGAAATGTTATTTTGTAAAGTGAATCTTGATTTGTGTTTATCTGGTTTCTTCATAATTAGGTTCAGGTTATGTATCTTTGGTGGGGACAGCCCAGAAGAGATGCTGTGTCCTCAGTGCACCCTTTCTGGAGGCACACAACACCTCTTTGTCTCATTGTGGATGATGTTAACTTATGTTACTTGGTTGATGTGATACCTGCCAGGATTCTCTCTATAAAGCTACTGTTTTCCCTTTGTAATTAATAAGCATGTGCCAACATTGAAAGGTTGGTTGAGGAAGAAGAGCCAGGAAGAAAGCTTATGAAGACACATGGGGACATGGAAGGAAGTCCAGAAATCTTAGAACCAGGAGGAGGTGCTACAAGGAGGGGAGAATGGTTAGTCAGTTTGGTCCAGTACTGCTGAGAGGTTAATTGGGTGAGGGTGAAAGTGTCCATTGGTTGCAACTTCCACATGCAGATCATAGTTGAAGTCTGAAGCCAGCCTGTGGAGAGTCGAAGCATGAAAGGGAGGTGTGGACAGACAACAGGGAAATGCTGTGGACTGGAGGGATCTAGGTAGTGATGGAGAGGTGTGCGGGGCCAGGGACATGGTCTGTGACAGATGGAAGAATGTAGTATATGTAGAGTGAGCTAAGAAGGGGTCCGATGAGGGGTTAAAGCGGAGAGAGGAACCATGGAGAGCAAATGTTCTTGAGGAGGCAGAGGAGATGAGAGAGTCTTAGAGGGTCCTTCCCAGCCCCAGAAGGAAGTGAGAGCAGGTGATGGTGGAAGCAGGTGGTTCTGATGGTGTGGCAGGGAGAGGCCTCCCTTTTCTTAGCTGAGGAGGAGGTGGAACAGGGGCTGGAGGGAGGACCAGGCATGAAGCGGGGATGAACCATGCTTGAAATGATCTCTGGAAAGGGAGACAGCAAGCTGACCAGAGTGGAGATGGGGTGGATGACATGAAGGCAAATCCAGTGTTCAGGAGCCATGAGCTTTCAGCTCACTTTTGACAGGGAGTAGACACTGCCTGGTGGCTACTGAGGAGACAAGGAACCCTTACCTTGGGCTCGAAGGGGCAGGTGTATGGGAGACAGAACAGAAGCTTTGGAGAGGACCGACGTCTGTCTCCAGGGGTTAGCTAGTCTCTGTGAAAGCTGGAAGGGAGCTTCTGCATTCAAAACAGAAGCAGGGTTGTAGAATGGCTCAGTTTTTCCAAGAGAGCTGTGCACAAGGATGACAGCCAGGAGCAATGCAGGTGGTAGTGGGTGGGAGGAGTGGAAGGAAGGCTCCCTGGGTTGAAATACCAGGAAACTTCTCCCCCGTCCTCCCTCCCCACCAAGACCAAGAAGGTGGAGCTCCTGGCCCCACATCTGGCCCCTATTGGCATGAGGCCATCAGGGCTCTAGCCCAGTAAGCTCACAGCTTCCTCCAGGAAAAGCTGACGAGCATGGGGTGTGGAAGCAGCACTGCCCATGGCCCCAGACGAACTGAAGAAGGGCCAATCCCCGCTTTGCCAAGCCTCACCTCTCCAGAAATCAGAGGCTTGGCTACTCCATAGGTGATGTGAGGGCATGGGCAGCTCTGCTGCTGTTGGGGTGGGACCTTGCCATCTGTTCTGAGCCTTCTGGTCTGACAAGGGGCTTTTGGAATGCCAGCATGTATGGCTGATCCACTCCCCATCCTTATTGTGCCTGCTGGTGGGAATAAGTGCTCAGCATATTTTGGTTTCCATTAGATCAGAGGCTGTGATCCAAAGAGAGCCCTGGGTTTTGTCCTGGTTCTGTTTCCGATACTGATGTGAGGAGAAAATTTGGGCAAGTCCTTCTCTTTTTTGGGTCTCAGTTTCCTTATCTATGTACTTGTGTTGTGACAGATACCCTCTCTAAAGCCAGGTGTCATCTGTTCCCAGAATAGAAACCCCTCTTACCTGGTTCCCACCAAATCCAAACTGAGCTATGAACTGGTTGGTATAAGCAGGCCCTGAGCCCCCCAAAACTCGGGATTTTAGGGGTGAAGAGATCTCCAGCATTTCCTCTGCCCAGGGGCTCATACATCAATCATATGTTTTCTCTCACACTCCCCTCCACCCAGGGGTGCTCCTGACCACAGGCACAGGAAGTGGCTTCTTAAGGCCTCAGAACTACCCCTCCATCCTCCTTTATTTGTTTCTCATTCCCTGCCTGAAATGTCAGCAGGCAGGCAAGTATTCCTTGAGCTAGACATAGATTTCTTTTTTTTTTAAAAATTAAATCTTTATTGTTCAGATTATTACATTTGTTCCTCTTCCCCCCCCCCCCATAACTCCCCTCCTCCCAGTTCCCGCCCCACCCTCCGCCCTCACTCCCCACCCACTGTCCTCATTCATAGGTGCACGATTTTTGTCCAGTCTCTTCCCGCATCTCCCACACCCCTTTCCCCCCCAGGAATAGTCAGCCCATTCCCTTTCTATGTCCCTGATTCTATTATAATCAACAGTTCATTCTGTTCATCAGATTATTTATTCACTTGATTCTTAGATTCACTTGTTGATAGATGCATGTTTGTTGTTCATAATTTGTATCTTTACCTTTTTCTTCCTCTTCCTCTTCTTAAAGGATACCTTTCAGCATTTCATATAATACTGGTTTGGTGGTGATGAACTCCTTTAGCTTTTCCTTATCTGTGAAGCTCTTTATCTGACCTTCAATTCTGAATGACAGCTTTGCTGGATAAAGTAATCTTGGTTGTAGGTTCTTGGTATTCATCACTTTGAATATTTCTTGCCACTCCCTTCTGGCCTGCAAAGTTTCTGTTGAGAAATCAGCTGACAGTCGTATGGGTATTCCCTTGTAGGTAACTGAGTTTCTTTCTCTTGCTGTTTTTAAGATTCTCTCTTTATCTTTTGCTCTTGGCATTTTAATTATGATGTGTCTTGGTGTGGTCCTCTTTGGATTCCTTTTGTTTGGGGTTCTCCGCGCTTCTTGGACCTGTAAGTCCATTTCTTTCACCAGGTGGGGGAAGTTTTCTGTCATTATTTCTTCAAATAGGTTTTCAATATCTTGCTCTCTCTCATCTTCTGGCACCCCTATAATTCTGATGTTGGTACGCTTGAAGCTGTCCCAGAGGCTCCTTACACTATCCTCGCATTTTTGGATTCTTTTTTCATTTTGCTTTTCCGGTTGGGTGTTTTTTGCTTCCTCGCATTTCAAATCATTGACTTGATTCTTGCGCTCCTCTGGTCTGCTGTCGGGAGTCTGTATAATATTCGTTATTTCAGTCCGTGTATGCTTAATTTCTAGTTGGTTCCCCAATATAACATCGAGGGTCTCATTAGTTTTCTTGTAGATCTCATTAAGTTTATCGGTGGCTTCTAAACAGTTCTTGAGAGACCTTAAAAGTGTGGTTCTGAACTCTATATCTTCCATTGACAATTTTGTCCTGTTTCTTTGTCTCCGCATTTTGTTATGCTTCCTTGGTGCACCCCCTAGTGGTCTTTGTTCGAAGTCTTATAATTAAACCTTGATTGTTGTAGCTAATACCAGGGAGGGTTTGACCTCCAGGCCAGGTGGCTATGAGAATCAGCTGTGTCAGCAGGGAGAGAACTTCTGTCCTCTAGGGAGGTGCTAATCTAGCCTTTGCCTGAGCCTATCCGGCAAATGCCTCTGTGCAGGGCTTGGGCGGGGCGGGTCGCACAGGATCAACAGGGTGGGCCGGAGAGAGCAGTTATGGCGGCTCTCAGTCCTGTCCCCAGGGGCTCTGCCTCTGAGTCCCAGCACCCACTGCAAAGCTCGGAGAGAAAGCTGCACTCGCTCTGACCAAAGCCAGACAGTCCCGCTTCTCCCGTTTGAGTCTGGGTCGCTAAAGACTCGCCCAGATCTGGAGCTCAGAGTCTGCGGCTCCCTCCCGATTGAAAACGCCAACCGCGCCCTCCGCCGCCAGCCCGCTCCGCGCACTCCACACCTCAGAATTTGACTTCAGCACTGCGCCTCCTCTGAGTGTCCGTATGCGTTTCTCTTTCCTCCTAGTTGTAGGACTTCCACTCAGCCAGCGTTCCTGTGGTTCTGGGTGATGTCCCTTCCGTCTTTTAGTTTCACTTTTGAAGTAGTTGTTCAAAGCAGCAAACTCCGGCGTTAACCTATGCCGCCATCTTGGTTCTCCCCCGACATAGATTTCTATAGATACTGGCCTTGGGATAAAATCTGGAAAGCTATTGAACCTTAGTGTGAAGTAATTGGCTTTATCCTTTCCCAAGGAAACAGACTTTGATAGAAGGGAGGGATAGGTAGGAGGGGCAGGAGGTAAAGGGTCACCCTAGAGGGCTATGCAGGCTTCAGGAACCCTTGACCCATGACCTACCCATTCTTTCTATTCCTTTTCCCACCCCTAGGGCACCCACCAGGAGTGAAGACCTGGCTCTGTCACCTCCACTTCTCTGTTTTCCTTCCCTGACCCAGTGTCCTGGGGACCCTTCAGGCAATATAGCCTGGTTGGGTGGAATTCTCAGGGTTCTACAACTGAGCTGCTAGCATAGAATTTCTATGCCACAGTTCAGGCACCATAGCAACTGACAGAAATAAACACCATGCTTCACAATCTATGTTCTGCAGTGATGTCATCTCCAGGTCCTGTCTCCTGGGCCCTGTGGCTTGCTGCACCCTAGACTATCTCAGCTGCTCAAGCTGGAGTACTGTCTTCCTTCTCAGCCCCCACGACACCTCTGGAGTAGGGAAGAGTGGATTCAGGAGTTTGGGCAGGGGAACCTGGAATAAGCCCCACACCAGCTCAGCTCCTTGCCTGCTGCTTAGATGCTATTGGAGCTTGGTTCCAGCCATGAAACTGCCCAAGGGGTCCAGGAACTCTGTGTTCTATGGGCAGCACCCAGAGAAGAAGGTGCAGGTGCCCTCATGGAAAGAGGTGAAGCAGACCCCTGTGATCATGGCGATGATCAAAGGTGAGAGCAGAACGCCCCCTGACCCCACCCTGAGCTTGGGCCCATTTCTCTCTCTGCTGGGCTGCTGAAGGTGTCCCAGCCTTCCTGCCTTGTCTCCTGCAGACTCTCTTTGAAGTCCACAGAAGATGTGTGCCTCCAAGCTGAACCTTGCAGGCAGTGATTAACTGCTGGGAATTTTCAGGGGGGAGGTAGGTAGGAAAGGAAGGGAGGATGTGGCTTGGAGTGAAGCCACCTTTAAAAAAAGGCTACGGATTTATGGGAGCCTTTAACCCAGCTTTAGCTCCCTCCCCTTCCCTTGAGCCTTAATCTCAAATGAAAGCAGAAACATTAATTTTTACTACATTGTTAATGACTGATTATTGCTGTTTGGGCGGTGGTTTAGTGCATGGTTAAATGTTTGAGCTCAGTTGGCTGATTGTCTCAGAATTTTCACATTACCAGCTTTTGTGACTTTGGGCAAATTGATATTTTTAAACCTCAGTTTTCTCATCTGTAAAATGGGAAAAATGATAGTATCTACCTTACAGAGTTGTTGGGAGGCTTAACTGAAATAATTCATATAAAATGCTTAGTATATTACTTGGCACAGAATAAGTTCTCAATTAATTGTAACTATTACCTTTTTTATTATGCAGTGCCTATCCAAGGGAAATTACATTTTTTTTTGGTATTTTTATTTTTATTTTTACTTTTTATTATTATTATTTTTTTATTGCTTAAAATATTACAAAGGGTATTACATATGTGTCCATTTTATCCACCCGCCCTAGACAGTCCCCTAGCCTCCCCTATCCCCCAGTGTCTTATGTCCATTGGTTATGCTTATATGCATGCATACAAGTCCTTTAGTTGATCTCTTACCCCCCTACCTCTTGCCCCCCAACCCTCCCCGGCCTTCCCGCTGCAGTTTGACAATCTGTTTGAGGCAGCTCTGCCTCTGTATCTATTATTGTTCAAAAGTTTATAATGGTCTCTATTATCCATGAATGAGTGAGATCATGTGGTATTTTTCCTTCATTGACTGGCTTATTTCACTTAGCATAATGCTCTCCAGTTCCATCCATGACGTTGCAAATGGTAAGAGTTCCTTCCTTTTTAGAGCAGCATAGTATTCCATCATGTAGATGTACCACAGTTTTCTAATCCATTCATCTACTGATGGGCACTTAGGCTGTTTCCAGATCTTAGCTATGGTGAATTGTGCTGCTATGAACATAGGGGTGCATATATCCTTTCTGATTGGTGTTTCTGGTTTCTTGGGATATATTCCTAGAAGTGGGATCACAGGGTCAAATGGGAGTTCCATTTTCAGTTTTTTAAGGAAACTCCATACTGTCTTCCATAGTGGCTGCACCAGTCTGCATTCCCACCAGCAGTGCACAAGTGTTCCTTTTTCTCCACATCCTCTCCAGCACTTGTCGTTTGTTGATTTGTTGATGACAGCCAGTCTGACAGGTGTGAGATGGTACCTCATGGTTGTTTTGATTTGCATCTCTCGGATGATTAGTGACTTTGAGCATGTTTTCATATGTCTCTTGGCTTTCTGAAATTCCTCTTTTGAAAGGTGTCTATTTAGGTCCTTTGCCCATTTTTTGATTGGATTGTTTATCTTCCTTTTGTTAAGTTGTATGAGTTCCCTATAAATTTTGGAGATTAGGCCCTTATCAGATATGACATTGGCAAATATGTTTTCCCACACAGTGGGTTTTCTCGTTGTTTTGTTGATGGTTTCCTTTGCTGTGCAGAAGCTTTTTATTTTGATGTAGTCCCATTTGTTCATTTTCTCTTTAGTTTCAAGTGCCCTAGGAGCTGTATCAGTGAAGAAATTGCTTCGGCATATGTCTGAGATTTTGTAGCCATTGGATTCTTCTAGAATTTTTATGGTTTCCTGTCTTACATTTAAGTCCTTTATCCATTTTGAGTTTATTTTTGTGTATGGTGTAAGTTGGTGGTCTAGTTTCATTTTCTTGCATATATCTGTCCAATTTTCCCAACACCATTTATTGAAGAGACTATCTTGGCTCCATTGTATGTTCTTGCCTCCTTTGTCAAATATTAATTGAGCATATTGGTTCGGGCCGATTTCTGGGCTCTCTATTCTATTCCATTGATCTATATGCCTATTCTTGTGCCAGTACCAGGCAGTTTTGAGAACAGTGGCTTTGTAATACAACTTGATATCTGGTATTGAGATCCCACCTACTTTGTTCTTTTTCAGGATTGCTGCAGCTATTCGAGGTCTTTTTTTATTCCAGATGAATTTTTGGAGAGTTCGTTCTAGGTCTCTGAAGTATGCTGTTGGTATTTTAATGGGAAGTGCGTTGAATTTATAGATTGCTTTGGGTAGTATGGACATTTTAATGATGCTGATTCTACCAATCCATGAACACGGTATGTTCTTCCATCTGTTTATATCTTCCTCTATATCTTTTTTCAACGTCCTGTAGTTTTCTGAGAAGAGGTCTTTTACCTCTTTAGTTAAGTTTATTCCTAGGTAGCTTAATTTTTTTGGTGCGATGGTAAACGGGGTTGTTTTTATAATCTCTCTGAAAGTTCACTATTGGTGTATAGAAACGCCTCAGATTTCTTGGGGTTAATTTTGTATCCTGCTACATTGCCAAATTCATGTATTAAGTCTAGTAGCTTTTTGATGGAGTCTCTAGGGTTTTGTATGTATAATATCATGTCGTCTGCAAATAAAGACAGTTTTACTTCCTGTTTTCCAATTTGGATGCCTTTTATTTCTTCTTCTTGCCTAATTGTAATGGCTAACACTTCCAGTACTATGTTGAACAGGAGTGGTGAGAGGGGGCATCCCTGTCTTGTTCCTGTTCTTAGGGGAAATGGTGTTAGTTTTTGTCCATTGAGTATGATGTTGGCTGTGGGCCTGTCATATATGGCTTTTATTATGTTGAGGTATGATCCTTCTACTCCCACCTTGCTGAGAGTTTTTATCAAAAATGGGTGTTGAATTTTGTCAAATGCTTTTTCTGCATCAATTGATATGACCATGTGGTTTTTTTCTTTCAATTTGTTTATGTCATGTATCACGTTTATTGATTTGCGGATATTGTACCATCCTTGCATCCCTGGGATAAATCCTACTTGGTCATGGTGCATGATCTTTCTGATGTACTGCTGGATCCGATTTGCTAAGATTTTGTTGAGGATTTTGGCATCTATGTTCATGAGGGATATTGGCCTGTAATTCTCTATCATTGTGTTGTTGTTACCTGGTTTTGGTATTAGGGTGATGCTGGCTTCATAGAATGAGCTTGGAAGTGTTCCTTCCTCTTGAATTTTTTGTAGTAGTCTGAGGAGGATAGGTTTTAGTTCTTCCTTGAATGTTTGGTAAAACTCCCCTGTGAAGCCATCTGGTCCTGGGCTTTTGTTTGCTGGAAGCTTTTTGATGACTGCTTCAATTTCTTCCATAGTTATTGGCCGGTTGAGATTTTTAGATTCTTCCTGATTGAGTTTTGGAATGTTGTATTTTTCTAGGAATTTGTCCATTTCCTCCAGGTTGTCTAGTTTGTTGGAGTAGAGCTGTCCATAGTATTTTTTAACAATCATTTGTATTTCTGTGGGGTCTGTTGTTATTTCGCCTCTATCGTTTCTGATTTTGTTTATTTGGGTCCTCTCTCTTTGCTTCTTGGTGAGTCTGGCTAGAGGATTGTCAATCTTGTTTATCCTTTGAAAGAACCAGCTCTTGGTTTCATTGATTTTCTGTATTGTATTTTTGGTCTCTATGTCATTTATTTCTGCTCTAATCTTTATTATCTCCTTCCTTCTGCTCACTCTGGGGTTTTCTTGTTGCTCTCTTTCTAATTCTTTGAGTTGTAGAGTTAGATGATTTACTACCATTTTTTCTTGTTTTTTGAGATAGGCCTGTAGAGCTATAAACTTCCCTCTCAGGACTGCTTTCATTGTGTCCCATAGGTTTTGGATTGTTGTGTTTTCATTGTCATTAGTTTCCAGGATGTTTTGAATTTCTTCTTTGATTTCATTGGTAACCCAATCAATATTTAATAGCACGCTATTCAGCTTCCAGGTGTTTGAGTATTTTGGGTTGTTTTTATTGTAGTTTATTTCTAATATTATACCATCGTGGTCTGTGAAGACGCTTTTTATGATTTCAATCTTCTTGAATTTGGGGATACTTTGCTTGTGACCCAATATATGGTCTATTTTTGAATATGTCTTATGAGCATTTGAGTAGAATGTATATGCCGTGGCATTGGGGTGAAGTGTTCTGTAGATGTCTATTAAGTCCATCTGATCTAGTGAGTCATTTAGGATTGCTGTATCTTTGCTGATTGTTTGTCTAGAGGACTTATCCAGTGCTGTCAGTGGTGTATTAAAGTCCCCTACTGTGATTGTATTGTTGTCGATCTCTCCTTTGATATCTTCCAGGAGTTTTTTTTATGAATTTGGGTGCTCCTGTATTGGGTGCTTATATGTTTACCAGGGTTATATCTTCTTGTTGTATTGATCCCTTTAGTATTGTGAAGTGGCCTTCCTTATCTCTTGTTATGGCCTTCACTTTGAGGTCTATTTTGTCCGATATAAGTATTGCTACCCCAGCTTTCTTTTCCTTTCCATTTGCCTGAAAGATATTTTTCCATCCTTTCACTTTCAGTCTGTGTGAGTCCCTTTTAATGAGGTGGGTTTCTTGTAGACAGCAGATGTATGGGTCATGTGTTTTTTATCCATTCAGCCACTCGATGTCTTTTGGTTGGAGCATTTAGTCCGTTTACGTTTAAAGTTATTATTGAAAGGTACTTGTTTGTAGCCATTTCTTTTTGTGTGTGGCTGTTTTCTTTCTGAGCTTTTTATTTCTTATTTTTATACCAGTCCCTTTAGCATTACTTGCATTGCTGGCTTGGTGGTGATAAACTCCCTTAGCCTTTTTTTGTCTGTGAAGCTTCTTATTTCCCCTTCAAGTATGAATGATAGCCTTGCTGGATAGAGTATTCTTGGATTCAGTCCTTTGCTTTGCATCACTTTGTAAATTTCTGTCCATTCTTTTCTGGCCTGATGTGTTTCTGTTGAGAAATCATTTGACAATCTAATGGGAGATCCCTTGTATGTAACTTTCCGTCTCTCTCTTGCAGCCTGTAAGATTCTCTCTTTGTCCTGAACATTTGCCATGGTAATTATGATGTGTCTTGGTGTGGGTCTGTTCAGGTTCACCTTGTTTGGGACTCTCTGGGCTTGTGTGACTTTTTTCTTCCCCACCTCAGGGAAGTTTTCTGATATTATTTCTTCTAATAAGTTTTCTAATCCTTGTTCATCCTTCTGTTGTTCTGGTACCCCTATTATTCGTATGTTGTTTTGCTTCATGTTGTCCCAAAGCTCCCTTAGGCTCTCCTCCTGTCTTTTAATTTTTTTCTCCAATTGCAGTACATTTTGGGTGTGTTTTGCTTCCTTGTCTTCTAATTCACTAATTCAGTCCTCCGCTTCTCCTAGTCTACTGTTGATACTTTCAATGGAGTTTTTCATTGCAGCTATATCACTCTTCATTTATCTTGGGTCTTACTTAAGTTGCTGATTTTTTCATCTGTTTCTTCTAGCTTCTTCCATATGTTATTGATTTTTTCATCTGTTTCTTCTTGCTTCTTGCAGAGGTTGTCGATTTTTTCCTCCATCCGGTTTATGCACTCTAGGACCCTTATTCTGAATTCTTTTTCTGTCATGTTGCATGCCTCTGTATTACTTAGCTGCTTTTCTGGAGAGTCCTCCTTCTCTTTCCTTTGGGGGTTTCTTTGTCTACCCATGTTTGATCTCACTGACATATCTAGACGTTGAGTCATTCAGTGGTTGCTCCCTTGGTGGCAGTGACTCCTTGGTCTGTGGTTGCTCTTCGGGCGGTTGCGGTAGCAGCTGCTCTTCAGTTGGCAGCAGCTCCTCTGGTGGGTGCTGTTCACAGCTGTGGTGGCTCTTCTGGCTGGTGGGGCAAGGTTTCACGTACAGCTGCTGTTCCTCAGCAGAGGGTGTGGTGCTCAGGAGGTTGCTGTTGCTTGGATCTGCTGCGTTGATTTAAAGGCACAAAATACAACACAACAAGGCACCACGTACCAGGCACTATACACAAATATATTCACGATATTAATAAGCCCAAAGAAAGGTGACCACCCGAATTAAGAGAATTAGGGTATAAGGAAGAAGGAAGAGAAAAAGATAAAAGAGAAAAAAGAAAAGAAAAGTTGGGACCAAAAAAAGGAGTGCAAAAATGAAATTGGGAAAAAGGAGGGGGGAAAATAAAAGCGAGAAAAGAAAAGAAAAGAAAGAAAGAAAAAAAAGAGCGAAAAGAGAGAATGAAGTGGAAGAGGGGAAGAGACTTTTTATATGAGGAGAATACTCCTCTAGAACAGCCACTAATCCCAACAAATTCCAGCAACAGCTCCCTGGAGATGAATGCAAACTAGAAACAACCAATAATATAATGATGAAAATAGAATGGAGAACACTAATCCCAAAATAAAATAAAGAGAAAATAAAATGGCGCTTTAAAAAATGGTAAAATGGTAGCAGTAATAATACTGGTTAAAAATAAGAAGGTAGTAATTAAAAGGGTAAAATCAGGTGATGGAAAAAGAAGAAAAAAAAAGAGAAAAAAAAGAAAAAGAAAACAAAAGAAAAAAAAATTGGTTTCTTAGTTAAAAGGTGAAAAAAGAAAAAAAAAATTGCAGTAGTGAAGGTCCTTCGGTTCTTCTATTCTTCAGTGTGGCTCGCCTCAGACCTGCCAGGTATTCAGGAGAGTGTTGAGTTTCCCTGCGATACACTGTTCCTCTGTGTTGTAAACCACAGTTCTTATTTTAAAGCAGGCCGCATTTGTTTCCCAGACTGCCTTATTTTGTGTTTAGCAAAGAGTCAGTTTGTGGGTCAGCCTCTGGGTGGCAGTGTTCTGGGGTTGGCCTCTGAGGCTATAGGGCCTCTCTGTCCAGTGGACTACATTTTTTAAAAAAAATATATTTTATTGATTTTTTTTACAGAGAGGAAGGGAGAGAGATAGAGAGTTAAAAACATCGATGAGAGAGAAACATCGATCAGCTGCCTCCTGCACATCTCCTACTGGGGATATGCCCACAACCCAGGTACATGCCCTTGACCGGAATTGAACCCGGGACCCTTCAGTCCGCAGGCCGACGCTCCGTCCACCGATCCAAACCGGTTTTGGCGGGAAATTACATTTATCTGGGAACACTGCCTTTCGTGCAAGGAAGCAGCTCGATGGTGGGATTTGTGGTAGTGTGACGTCAGTGGGAGCAAAGACCCTGAAGTTCTCATGGGGCACTGTACTTGGGGCTTCCTGCCTCTGACCTTGTCGGCCCACAGTGAGCATTGCTCTGTCTGTTCTCATAGGTCCGGGGCCTGCCAAGTACTTGCGGCCATCCTGCACAGGCTACCTAGGCCATGACAGCTCCATGTTCCAGGAGCCAGCCTGCACTCTGCACACTCAGCACTCAGAGAAGCGTGAGTGTTCCCCACACCTTGGGTGTAGGGTTATTGTTAGATGTTTGGGGGTGGCAATGAGAGAAAGGAGCCATTATCTGTAGCCACAGCTCCCTGGGAATGCAGGCCTGCCCTGACCTGGACACCAAGGTTATCTGCTAGATCTAGGTGGATGTCAGCAGGGATGCCCAAGTGACCCACACCTCTGAAGGCAATTCTGTGGGCATCTCCCAACTGGGCCTCCCGAGGGAGCTTTAGAGGGATGCTGTCACTGTCCAGCTGGCAGAGCAGGGTCTCCTTTCTGTCTGGTCATTGGCTGGAACCCTTCAGTTCTGGCTATTATGGATTCACTTGCCATAGCAGCTGGGCAGGAATAGCTGGAGATTGGGGGAAAGTGGTGGGAATGGTGGCCCCCAAGGCTTTCCAGGTGGCTTGGAACCCCCTGAAAGGGTAGGAGCATTGGATCACAAAAGAGCTGGAACTGCTGGCCAAGGCCAGCAAGAGGAGAGCCTGGGCAGGAGTATGTATCTGGGAGTCTGAAATCTAGGGTGCCTGCCAGACCCCTTCCTGGGGTGACATATTCACCTCAGCAGGGTACCCCCATAACTGAGGCTGGGACCCCTTTTTATTATTGACAATATTACCTATATTCCCCATCCCCCCACCCTTTGCTTCCCTGTACCCAGTCCCCATCCCTCCCAGGCCTTCACCACACTATTGGCTGTGTCCATGGGCTATGCATATATGTTCTTTGGTTAATCTCTTCCCTTTCCTCCTCCCCTCTGAGGTCTCTCAAATCTGTCCCATGCATCCATGCCTATGGACCTATTTTGTTCATCAGTTTATTTATTTTGAGCCCCTTTTTAAAACTAACAATAGCCACTATGCCTATTATGACCCCTTGGCACCATCACTGACTAGTGGACTAAGCTGCTATGCAGCTGTCCCTCTGGACAAGTTCTCGAGAATGTTAAAAGCCCCATTTTACAGATGAGGAAATCAAAGTTCCCAAAACACCCAAGAACCTGAGGAATTGAGAAAGAACCCTTCACTCCTTTCTTGGGGAGGAGGGTCTCACCTGGGGACAGACTCTGGGACTGACTGAGCTCTGTGGCTGCCTTGCAGGGATAATGGACATATGCAACCCTGGGCCTTGCTATTTCCTGAATCCTAAAATAACTCGGGTTGGACTGTCCAGCTGCCCGCAGATCCCCATGGCGGAACGCATCTCTAACCTGTGTAAGATGGGATGGGGAGTGGGGTTGGGAGGTTGAAGAATGGAGGTGTACCCTTAGGACCTGAGCGGGGTCAAAGGATCATGACTCTCCTCTTCCAGGTGTGTCTGTGGATGCTGGCATCTCCCTGCAATGTCACATCAAGACACTGATGTCACCATGTCTGTGTCACAGTACTTATGTGCTGAAGCCAATGTTATGCATGTGTCAGGGGTGATTGTTATGATACAAGGGGCCCCATATAGGGGCAGCAATATCGCTATGCTAACGAGCTCATGGACTATAGTGATTTCAGGATGTTTTCTTGGTGTTGCCATAGGGACAATGTCAGAATGCTGACAGCCCAAGGTGACATACTGATAACACTTGTGTTTTTTTCTTTTTGTTAATCCTCACCTGAGAATATTTTTTTTCTCCATTGATTTTTAGAGAGATTCGAAGGCAGGGGGAGAGACACAGAGAGAGAAACATCGATATGAGAGACACACATTGTTGGTTGTCTCCCGCACACACCCTGACTAGGGCTGGGGATCAAGCCTGTAACTGAATATGTACCCTTGATCAGAATCGAACCTGAAACACTTCAATCAATGCTCTAACCACGGAGCACTGACTAGGGCATAGTTTTTATATTATGACAATAGTGTCACATTCTTATGTCAGGATGGCCTAAGTCCCTCACCTGCCCATAGATCCTGTAGGGTTGGAAGTCTCCCTGTCCAAAGCTAAGGTGGCTCTAGTGAAGTCACATCAGGCTAATCAAGGCCTCAGTTCCCCACCTTCGCCCACTTTCAGGCCTGAGCTCCACCCCAGCCTCCTGCCACTACTGCTTGGAGAAGACCCACCCCCCTGGAGAACGCAGGGCTCCGCAGTACACTTTCGGCTACCGGTGCCCATACAGAGTAATGGACCCCAACCCGGCCCCCAACCACTACCAGCTGCCACTCTTGCTGGGGCCCAACATCCCCATCAACCGAGCTGCTCCTTGCTATAGTTTGGCCTCCACAGACAACAACTGGTTCTACAAGAAGAACGTGGCAGGAGGTCCTGGGCCAGCCATGCACACCCGCCCTGAGCCATCTGTCTACCAGAACCGCAGCCCCATCTACAGCATGGCCAAGCGCTTTGCCTGCCCAATGGACGATACACCTCAGCCTGGACCGGGTTCCCATGATGTCCAGCTGGTTACAGTACACAAGCCCCGCACACCTGCTTTCACCATGGGTGTTAAACACTCACCCTACCTGTGCCCGCTGGTCATTGACATTCACAACTGAGGGCCCTCCTCGTGTACTCACTCACTCCTCCCCACAGAAGATATTTTCTATATCAAAATGAGCAACTTACCAAGGTTTTGAGTAGCAGAGCTGGTGCCTGCTGTGTTTAGCACACAGAAAGTATTAGATAAATATTTTTATTTTTTTATTTCTTCATTTTGTAAATGTTCATGACTGCTTCCTTTGGGCCCTGCCCTGGATGAGGGGTGGGAATACTGGGAGGCATTACAGGTCAATGTCTTGGAGAAGTTCTGTTCTGGCTCACCAGGAGAGGCCACATGTTCTCAAGAAGCCTTGGGCAGAGGTTCCAGAGAGCTGAGTTCTAGTTCTAACTTTGCCACTAATGTGCTGTGTGGTCTTGTGCAGCTCCCGCCCATCTCTGGGCCTTGGGATTGCATTTTGTGCAGTGAGAGTGGGGGAAGACCTGGAGGATGATCCAGTTTCCTCTAGGTCCAGAACTGTGTGACTCTGAATCCTGACAGTGCTCAGTACCTTAGAGGGGAGAAGGGAAAATGGGTGGGGATAGAGGATGGAGGGGTCACTCTGGTTGGGAAAGGGGGAGAGGTGAGTTTTCCTGGGGGAAGGACTCAGGAGAACAAGCAGAGACAGTGTGTAGAAGGAAGGGTATTCCTGGTGGTGGTAAAGATAAGAGCAAAGGCAAGTAGATGGGACCAAAGGGTGCAGGGCAGGGAGTTGGGGAGGCTCAGAGGGCTCAAGCCCAGGCTGCAGGAGGCTGGCTGGTAATGGGACCAGATGGTAGTCAGCTTGGAGTGGACTCAGGCTTTGCCCACTGGGCAGTAGATAAGATATAGTATTTTCAGAATTCTTTGGGCAGAGAGAGAAGGTTAGCAGGATGGGCATAGCCTGAAAGCTGCAGTCAGCCTAGGGAGGAGGCAAAGGGGCTGAGCAGGCTGCTAAGAGAAGGGTCTGCATGTCACATGCTGTCTTTGGAGAGTCACTTGTATGACCCCAGCCTCAAAAGCTTAGCCTAGCAGTGCTGGTTAGAGGAGGAGCCGCACACCAGCCAGAAGGGGGCGGAGTTGCTTCGCTCCTGAGTCCAGGCCTTGCTCACTGCCCCCGCTGGTTCTGACTTGGCTTTTGGCAGCCAGGTGCCAGCTCTGGGGAGGCTGGGGTCTCTGGGACTGGTATTTGTCCTTCCTTAATTCTTGGTATCTGGATCCCCCATTCTGACTTGCTACTTTCCCTGGACACAGGAGGTATGAGGGGGACTTCTATCCCTGCTCTGCAGCTTGGGGCCAATGACAGGAGTGAGGGTGGATTATGGAGGGAGAGGGGCTGGGGGAAGAGGAGAGGAGGCAAAATATCTCCCAGACCCCATGGCTCAGGGAGAGGCACATTCTTCTGCATCCATTGCCCCAAGAGCTAAGAGGCAGGAGAAAGGACCACTCAATATTCTGATATGTCTTCTGGCTCATCCTTATGAATCTGAGAAATATTCAGGTTTTAATTGAAAATGAAAATTGGCCCTAGCTGTTTTGGCTCAGTGGATAGAGCGTTGGCCTACAGACTGAAGGGTCCCAGGTTTGATTCCAGTCAAGGGCACATGTTCAGGTTTCTGGTTTGATCCCCAGTAGGGGGCATGAAAGAGGCAGCCGATCAATGATTCTCTCTCATCATTGATGTTTCTATCTCTCTCTCCCTCTCCTTTCCTCTCTGAAATCAATAAAAATATATTAAGAAAATGAAAATTCAGTTGAACAACTTTGGCGGCCAGAAAGGAGCAGAGAATATCTTTGGGGTATTAAAAGTACACACACACAGGGGGGCGGGAAGGGGGTTAAGAGATCAACCGAAGGACTTGTATGCATGCATATAAGCATAACCAATGGACATAAGACACTGGGGGGTAGGGGAGCCCGGGGGAATGTCAAGGGGAGAAAAAAAAAAAAAAGGAGACATATGTAATACTCTTTGTAATACTTTAAGCGATAAAAAAAAAAAAAAAAGGACACACACACACACACATCTGAGTATTTTTTTTTTTTTTAATCTTTATTGTTCAGATTATTACATTTGTTCCTCTTTTTTTTCCCCCCATAACTCCCCTCCTCCCAGTTCCCGCCCCACCCTCCGCCCTCACTCCCCACCCACTGTCCTCATCCATAGGTGCACGATTTTTGTCCAGACTCTTCCTGCATCTCCCACACCTCTTTCCCCCCCAAGAATAGTCAGTCCATTCCCTTTCTATGTCCCTGATTCTATTATAATCAACAGTTCATTCTGTTCATCAGATTATTTATTCACTTGATTCTTAGATTCACTTGTTGATAGATGCATATTTGTTGTTCATAATTTGTATCTTTACCTTTTTCTTCCTCTTCCTCTTCTTAAAGGATACCTTTCAGCATTTCATATAATACTGGTTTGGTGGTGATGAACTCCTTTAGCTTTTCCTTATCTGTGAAGCTCTTTATCTGACCTTCAATTCTGAATGATAGCTTTGCTGGATAAAGTAATCTTGGTTGTAGGTTCTTGGCATTCATCACTTTGAATATTTCTTGCCACTCCCTTCTGGCCTGCAAAGTTTCTGTTGAGAAATCAGCTGACAGTCGTATGGGTATTCCCTTGTAGGTAACTGAGTTTCTTTCTCTTGCTGTTTTTAAGATTCTCTCTTTATCTTTTGCTCTTGGCATTTTAATTATGATGTGTCTTGGTGTGGTCCTCTTTGGATTCCTTTTGTTTGGGGTTCTCCGTGCTTCTTGGACCTGTAAGTCCATTTCTTTCACCAGGTGGGGGAAGTTTTCTGTCATTATTTCTTCAAATAGGTTTTCAATATCTTGCTCTCTCTCATCTTCTGGCACCCCTATAATTCTGATGTTGGTACGCTTGAAGCTGTCCCAGAGGCTCCTTACACTATCCTCGCATTTTTGGATTCTTTTTTCATTTTGCTTTTCCGGTTGGGTGTTTTTTGCTTCCTCGCATTTCAAATCATTGACTTGATTCTTGCGCTCCTCTGGTCTGCTGTCGGGAGTCTGTATAATATTCGTTATTTCAGTCCGTGTATGCTTAATTTCTAGTTGGTTCCCCAATATAACATCGAGGGTCTCATTAGTTTTCTTGTAGATCTCATTAAGTTTATCGGCGGCTTCTAAACAGTTCTTGAGAGACCTTAAAAGTGTGGTTCTGAACTCTATATCTTCCATTGACAATTTTGTCCTGTTTCTTTGTCTCCGCATTTTGTTATGCTTCCTTGGTGCACCCCCTAGTGGTCTTTGTTCGCAGTCTTATAGTTAAATCTTGATTGTTGTAGCTAATTCCAGGGAGGGCTTGACCTCCAGGCCAAGTGGCTATGAGAATCAGCTGTGTCAGCAGTGAGAGAACTTCTGTCCTCTAGGGAGGTGCTAATCTAGCCTTTGCCTGAGGCTATCCGGCAAATGCCTCTGTGCAGGGCTTGGGCGGGGCGGGTCGCACAGGATCAACAGGGTGGGCCGGAGAGAGCAGTTATGGCGGCTCTCAGTCCTGTCCCCAGGGGCTCTGCCTCTCTGAGTCCCAGCACCCGCTGCAAAGCTCAGAGAGAAAGCTGCACTCGCTCTGACCGAAGCCAGACAGTCCCGCTTCTCCCGTTTGAGTCTGGGTCCCTAAAGACTCGCCCGGATCTGGAGCTCAGAGTCTGCAACTCCCTCCCGATTGAAAACGCCAACCACGCCCTCCACCGCCAGCCCGCTCCGCGCACTCCGCACCTCAGAATTTGACTTCAGCACTGTGCCTCCTCTGAGTGTCCGTATGCGTTTCTCTTTCCTCCTAGTTGTAGGACTTCCACTCAGCCAGCGTTCCTGTGGTTCTGGGTGATGTTTGTTCCGTCTTTTAGTTTCACTTTTGAAGTAGTTGTTCAAAGCAGCAAATTCCGGCATTAACCTATGCCGCCATCTTGGTTCTCCCCTGAGTATTTTTAAAAGGGGATTGTCAAAAAACCCACAGGTCATACCTGACTTGGCCTGAGGTCCCGCCTCCCAAGGCCTGGGGTATTGTGCCTGGGCTGCGCAGGCTGGATAGGGAACGAGTGAGCTTGGGGACCCATCGGACCTGCAGCAGGTTAGAAAGATGCTATTTTGCCAACAATACCATTGATTACAAAGGCTATAAAAATTAGTGATACTTGGGCTAAAGTGTTGGGTAGGAGTGGGGGCTGGCAGGTGGCAGCAGCTGATGCTCTTCTTTGTTGCCGGTCAGAGGAGATACAAGGCAACCTTTGAATAAGGATTTTCTGATTTAGTGCTCACCCCTCCCAAGGCCTGCCAGTGGAAAAATGAGGAAACTGAGGTGCAGAGACAGGGAAATAACTTTGGCCATATGACAAATTAATGGCCTGTCTCTAAATAAATTTCCAGGTTCAGTGTGTGAGCAGGGTAGGGGCTTAACATGTGAGGAGGTTGAGGACTAGGCATGTGAGCAGGGTCAGGGTTCAGTCTGTGACTAGAGTCAGGGCTCAGTCAGTGTGAGACCCATGACTTATATTAGGAATAAATCCTAGATTTTGCCTTCATGGCTCAGTCTGGGACTGACCTCAGCCTGACCCCTATCTGGGTAGCGACTGGCAGTTAGCCCTAGAGCTAGAACTAATCTTTGTGGGTTTTGTGGTCCCATGGAAAGTAGAGAAGGAAGCTAGAGGGTTCAGAATGCATATTCAGGAGATGAAGATGTTTGGATGAGAGATGGCCCTGCCATGAAGGGGACGTGGCCTCCAGGGAAGATGGATGGGGCCTGCCTGTGCCTCAGCCTGCAAAATGACAGGGCCATTTAATTTGGGATTAAACTTTTGACAAAGTAGTCCCCATCTCTTGGTCTTGCCTCCCTCTTGTATTTTAGGTCAAGGACAAGAGATGGGGATTGCTTTGTGAAAAGTTTGACCCCAAGGTTGGTAACCTGCAGAAAGTCAGGTGGGTATAGCATCCCAGGGATGGTAGAGTGTTGACCCCATCTTTTTAAATTTTTAAATTTTATTGATTTTGTTTTAGAGAGAGGAAGGGAGAGGGAGAGAG